ATCTTAGCATGGTTAGGTCCTTATCTTGACCTACTTGAGCTCTGTCTATGCTTAGTTCATGCATTTGTGCCATGTATTGCATGCCTCCTTTGTAGTCCTCTTTACTAGCTTCATGCTTTAAGGACCCTAGCATGTCATACTTGTGTTGTTTGAATGATTTGACATCATTTCTTACCTCATTTCAGTGCATTTAGTGTTGTAACACTTCCACGCTTTTCACTCTTTAAGTATTCTTGAGAGTTGCACCTTAGTGCCTCAATTGGTGAGCTAATTGGCATGCATGTTTGTATGTGTTTTCGGTGCCTTTATTTAAGCATTGTGGCCACTGTTTTGGCATGACTGAGGTCTGTCCATTTCGGTTTAAGTCCATTGAGTATGAGGTTTGCATGTTGTTGCATGCTTGGTGTATTACATATTGTTGCCCTTGTTGCGTTGCATTGTGCATGCATGCATTACATTGTGTTTAGAACCCTATGATTGTCTTGCATTGAGTATGCCATCCAGTTCTTATCATTTAGCATTGCGCATGCCATGTCATGCCTTGCATTGTGTATGCTAGGTTGCTAGTTGCATTGAGTATGCCATCCAGTTCTTATCATTTAGCATTGTGCATGCCATGCCATGCCTTGCATTGTGTATGCTAGGTTGCTAGTTGCATTGAGTATGCCATGTAGTTGCATGTTCGCATGCTAAGGTTGCATTACATAGCATTAAGCATGCCATATTATGTGTTGCATCGTGTTTGGAATAGGTGTTAGTCCAAACACGGGAAACGAGGGACGTTTCATACTTCAAGTGATGAAACGTGCCTTAATTCCCGGTCGCCAACGCTCTTGATCACACATGATAGAGTTTTAGGCTTTATGTGTTTACTTGTGTATTCATTTCCATATTGAATTGTGCAACTTCGCCTCTTGGCCATCACGCATGAAAATGCGCGATTGGTGTCCCAAGGGTCGAGAACCACACCCTCTTGAGTTCATCACATGATAGGGAGGGTGGTTGTGCACACATATCTTGCAAATACATTGCCATGCCCTTTCTTGCTCTCTGTTGCAGCAAATTACAGTTCAACAGCAACAACTGGCCGGCCAGCCAGAAAAAGTAGCTGGCCGACCACTTTTCTGGTTTTTCAATAACCAAAAGTGGTCGGCAAGTGTCTGGAGAGACCAAAAGTGGTCGGCCACCCTCCCACAGGATTCCCATGGTGGAGTTTCATCTTTCTGGAGCTTGGTGCAAGTTTCTGAGAACAAATGAAAACAGAGGCAAATCGGGGCATCGCATTGGATTTCCGAACAAGGCGACCGGGCATGCATGCATTCCTCTCCCACTGAAGCTCCTGATTTACTGCTTTCCTTAGCTGCCATGCTTAGATAGCTTGCTTTTGCTTTGGTTTGTACTTTAATTAGTTAATGTGTTAGCTATTCAATTCGTTTTGTAATAATTAGTTAACTAGGATTAGTTAATTAATTTGTTATGTAATAATTAGTTCAATTAGCTTAGATTAGCTAGTTAGCTCTTTATTTGGTCCCTCTTTCGAGTGGGTGCATTGTTGTAATAAGCGTGTGTGTGTGTGATGCATGTCTTCCAACCTCCATTTATTTCTCCTTTTTACTTAACTGCTTACAATGGTTAGTTTTAGGGCATGTTCCATTTAGCATACCTTATGCTCGCATGCGTGCATCCATTCATCTGTATTGCATGCACCAGGCTCGGCGCATTATACTAACTGCATTGTATTTCAATTCTAATTTGAATACATGTATCAAAGTTGCATTTCATATGCCATTCTAGAATAGCCGAGCCTATTTTAGTTCCATTTTCGCATGTGTTGCATTAGCCATTTTAACATGAACTAGTATCATGCATGATTTCTAACTAGTTCTCTGTTTTGGCTCGGAGTACACTGTGAGTGTTTACGCTTTAGCATACTGCATGTATGTTAATGTTGCCATGAAAGCATGCTTGCCATGAGGCTAACTGCTTATGTATTTAATTGTCTGAATGCCTGTGGGTGAAGGTTGGATTACTTGAATTGGAACAATTCATTGAAAATACTGATTTAGCCTACTTGCGAGTAGCAAACTTAAAAAAAAAAAATTAGATTTATCAGACAAATACAAACATAAAAACAAATCACGTTTTATTTTACAAAATGAATTATTTAAATTTATAATCATGTTTGTTATTCATTTTATAAAACAAAATATGATTTGTTCTTATGTTTATAGATGTCTAATGAAATTGATTTTTTATATAAATGACTTTTATTACAAAACTTATAAAGTAAACGGTTCGGATCATTGATGTGAATTTAAATTTGGACCCACAAAAAAATATAAATGGATATAGAGAGATGCAATTATGAAGAGAAACTTATCCTCATATTCCACTACTTTTCATCAATTATAACACAAGATATCATATGGACCTACCCTATCTGCATATAAATCTCTCATGTATGCTACATCTACCTCATAATTATAAAAAAAAATGATTTTATATTTTTTAAATGATAAATTAAATAAATAAATAAAAAGTCATAATGAAATAGACATATGTTTGGCGTAGGCCGGTCATATGTTTGGAGTCAGCTCACCTGAGTTTTCTGTACTAATTTGCACTTTTCTTTTTGGGAAAATCACAGAACAGTGATGGTAGGGAAAAGTATTGAAAATCACATACCAGTGGGGGCAATGGGCAGATATTAATTCCCCGCCCCTTTCCTTTATTGTAGTTTTTCCTCATTTTAATCTCCAGTTTCCTAAATTTTTCTCAACCCAACTTTTTCTTTTTTTCTTTTTAATTGTTGCTAATATAAATTGAAATATAAATAGATTATTTCTTCTAAATTTTTTATAACCACCAGAAACAACTAACAATATGAACAATATATAAATTTTAAGTGGAACTTGTTGGACAATCTTCACTGTATTTAAAAAGATTAATTCTGTTTGTGTACTTAACAACAAACAGAATACAAAAGAAATAAAGAAAATGAGAGAAAAATGTTTGATTACAAAAATCAAACTAGAAACAGAATTAAATAAATAAAAAACAGATTTTATTTTGTTATCAAAACAAAATTAAAATATGATTTAAATAAATAAATAAAACAGAATAATAAGTTAGACAACTTACTTGAGTAATTTCTTCGAATAATAATATGATTAAGTCCAGTGTTTGACAATGTGTCCTTAAGACATATTCGTCCTCTCCACGGTGCTTTCAGAATATGGACGTCTATCTCCCAAGATGAAATGATCAACTATAAATAAATGCAGCACTACAATTTATTTGTTCAACGAACACACTTAGTGTATGCACTCTTTCTCACAGAAAAATAATGGAATAAATGCAGCAAAATACAGAGATGATTTTCAGCAAAAGATGGACCAAAATTGAAGTAGAAATCCAAATGGGGAACTAGTCTATTTATAGATGTATTGGTGGCTGCAAATTTTGAATTAAATAGGTGCAACCTGTTTGAACAGGTATGGAACCTGTTTGGTTTTGAATTAAACAGATTTTAATCTGTTGGGTTCAAAATTGAAACAGATAAAAACGGAAGGGACCTGTTTTGGTGTAGAGTAAAACTGGACCAGTTTATTTTCGAAATTAAATTTGAAATGTGGATTTTATTTTACCAAAAATAAAATAAAATTCAAATGTTTTTTGTTGGCCCAAAAAGATAGGTATTGGGCTGGACAAGCCCAACCTCACACCACGCACCCGCGCCCAAGCCTAGCTCGCCCGACGGGACGGACGGCAGAACGCGCGTGCGATGATTTTTGGATTCAATGGGTCTAGCCCATAACCTCTCCCTTTTACAAACTTGGGGTGCCCATTGGGGCCTCCCCAAGTTATAAGTCCAAGCTATATAAACTCATTCAAAACTTCCCACCAAATCAATGTGGGACTAGCCATTTACACAATCCTTAAGGAATTACCACCAAAACTCCATTTCCATGGAGTACACTTTGGTTTCAATTTCTCATTCACTCGATAATAGTTTTGAGCAACCAAATATACCACGTGAATCACAACGCGGCATAGAATGCATTACCACTTCGACCCGTGAAAATCGACGCTCGGGTCCCACCTAAATATTAGACCAAAGTTAGGAAAAAAATCTATTTTTTACCCAGATTTTCCAAACCATTTCCAACAGAACTTCCCAAAAACAGACATATGAAACACACTCACTCATGCAATGCATAGAATTTTACAAAATCAATAATCATTAATAAAAAATTACTATTTGGTTGTATTCTCTAATATGGATAAAATATTTTTTTTCATTTTTTTTTTAGTCAATAGGAGATATTACATTAGTCATTTCACACAGTATAATGAATTAAAATAAAATTAATTTTAATTTCTATTATATTTAGTTAGTGGTTAAACAATTTTACATGCTATTTATTTTTTGTTTTTTCCCCCTTTAATTTAACATTGATGTACTAAACATAAATAGGTTTGTAAATCTATTAAAATTGAACTGACAACCATAAAAAATAGAATAGTTTTTTTTTTTATATAAAAAAAACAACATTTTTAATATGAGATCACTTGCATTTGCTCAAACTCTGAATTTGCATAAAAAGACATTTAAAAATGAAAAAAATTGTGGTTTAGGTATCAAAAGAAATGGGTTCCTAAAAATTAATTTAATCATGAGTTATTTTAATGATTAAATTTAAAGCATAAACCCATATTCAAATAAATGTTGATACTCTCTTCATTTCCAATCTGACATCTGTACCCAAAAAAATTAAACACAAATAGTCAATAATTGAAAGAATCACAAATTAATAACAGTAGCGCAAAAAAAAAAAATGAAATCTCAATTAAATGAAACATTATTAGTAAGAAAGGGAGAGAGAGAGAGAATAGATTGTAGGAAAAAAGAAAAAGAACCAAAACAAAAATAGAATTTAAAGAAGAATAAAAATAATAATATCCATTTACATAAACTCCCTTTCCCACACATGTAAAAACTCATGTAAGTATATATTTCAAATATAAAGTAGATACAATTGAAGGAAAAAAAATACTTGTGAGTTGACTTCAATGCAAGAATTTTTAGGCAGGAGTTGAAAAGGGTTCAACAAGTCAAGCATCCCCAATCAAAGCTCCTCAAATTGTGATGTGAATAATGAAGAGAGTGTGAATTTGATGGGTTATGTATCATCTTCAACTTCACAACATCTCTGTATGGATCCACAATGGACAAGGGTTGTCTTTGTCTCTGTCTTCTTATCACACCCACCAAATCAGTTTTCCTTTGAAGCTGAATCTATAACAAGATAAAACAGGGTAGTCAAAACACATGGAGAAATGGGCAGATATCCATTCCCACAGATATTTAAATTATATCACTTACCCAACTCAATAGGTAGGAAAAATGAAAAAAAAACCCATATATTTCGGATTGAGTCTCCATGGATACCCATTAGAGAAAGTGTACATTGCCATTCCTATTTACGACATAGGAGGAAAACTTTTTAGAATTTCATTTTATTTTAATAGAATCTCACGCGCTTTCCAATATTCTCTTTCTTCCATCCCACTTTTCTATTAACATACTCTCTCTTCTATCACCGTTTCATATATTTTGGATAAATAACATTGTGTTTGGTTGCAATTTTTTAAAAATTTAGTTTTTTTTTTTATTTTTCATTTTTTTTTATTTTTAGTGAATATTTTGAGGAATTACATGCGGGTGAGAGTTGGAAAAAAAAGAAGTTACCAACACATGGAGGGGTACAAGTGACACTTGCAACCCTACAGCCTTTCATTTGCAGCCCACCATAGACACACTTGCACCCCATGTGTTTGTAATTTTTTTTTCTCAATTCTCACCTGCACGTAGGGCTGTGCAAAATACCGCCAAATCCGCTAAAATCACACTGATCCGCATCTATCCGCACCACTCTAACAGCTAACCGCGGTTTAAATTTTAAAATTTATAATCCGCCAACCGAACCGCCCCGCTCCGCTATAGTTAATACATATATATTTTTTAACCTCTAATGAAATATCAATGTAAAAATGAGTGTGGGAGAGATTTAAGATATGTAATTTATTACAAATTAGTAATTATATATATGAAACATATTATGTAAAATTACTGTGTTATATATCTAAAAAACATTATACAAATTAGTGTTATATATTATGAAAATGTATGATAATTAGTTAGAATATTCTTTAATCCGCCAATCCGCCAAAAACCGTCCAAACTGCAATTTATCAACCCGCTAATCCGCCAACCCGCCATTCGGTTTATAAATTTACTTTCAAACCGCCTGAACCGCCCCGCGCACACCCCTACCTACACGTAGTTTCCCTTTCTTCTTTATTTGACATTCCCTCTCCCTATATTTTGTACTTTTATTTTATTTTAATAAAAATTTGTAATTATTAATATATAAATTTGATTTTTATAAAACTAATATCATTTAAAAAGGTATGGATGATGTTTTAAAATAAAATTAATATTAAATATATAAAATTAAAAAGTTTTATAAAACAATTTAAAATTAAAAAAACTATATTATTTTGAAAAATTATGGCCATGTTTGGTTTTATTCTTTCAAATTTATTTCATAATTTTTTTTTTAAAAAAAAATAGAAATTAGTTTGATAAAAATAAATATCAAAATAATATTTTTACTCTTCAAAAAGATAAAATAATATAAAAATGATAAGTACTTTAAATTTTTTCATTGATCCTGTGGCATGTGGCTATACCCCTCACAAATCACAATTCACCATGTCTTTTTATGTTCTCCAATAACTTAGTACAAATTCAAAAATTTCACTCATCTATTAATCATAGTACTAGACACTCCAAGATCAGCCAATAACTTCTTCATTAGAACAATCAATCAATCCAAATTTCCCAATCACCCCATACGCTTTTCTGAGGTCCTCTCTTCCTCTCCTTTTAGAACTGCAAATCATTTTCTTCCAATTCAATAACTCTATTTCAACCGGCACCTGGTACTTTTTGCGAATAGCCTCCAACTCCGCCACGGTAACCGTCGATTTGTTAGCCTTCGTGTGCCAGTGATCTAGTTCTGCCTGGCTGATTGGCTTCGGAGCTGCTATCATGGTGGAAGCATGAGATCGTACCACCGGTTCCCCCACCCTCTCCATTTGCCTCTCCGTCCTATACTGCTCTGCTAACTCCACTGCGTCGTCATCACCAAGCGGATCCACCCTGACATTCACAGCTTCTTCTTGGGCCATTTCTATGGTATGTCTTCGAATCGCTTCGGATGCAGGTGCAAGGAAATTGAAAAAATGTTGCAGAGGTGTATCATCAGCAATAAAGGAGTTAACACTTGAGATGTTTTGATTTTTTGCAAAGAAGTAGGTAAATCGAATAATGCCAAAAGCCCAAGGCTTGCCCGTATTCCAAGGGTCGCAATTAATTTGCGCCAGTTTGAAAACTTTTCAAAACATCTGCCAAAACTGTCTTTTCAACACCCATAATGACCTATCGTTTCATTTCTGATCCAACGCCTAATCTCTCCCCCACGAGATGTTGCCACGTGTGCGACCACGATCCACTGTCTCTTACCCTTACCTTGTCTTTTCCACTTCAAATCACCACGTGACACGCCGCCTCTTGAGCCCCGCGCCCCTCTACCTTACCCTTTGCGGTCGGCCCTCCTCATGGTCGGCCCTTCTACTCGGCCAACCTTCGCGGTCGGCCCTCATCGTGGTCGGCCCTTCCACTCGGACACGACTCGCGGTCGGTCCACCTCATGGTCCTCCCTTCTACTCGGCCCACCTCGCGGTCGGTCCACCCACTCGGTCGTCCCTGCCGGTCGGCCTTCATCCTACCAATCTCTAACACCCACATTCTTTTCATTAGTATTCCCTTCGTTGGACTTAAGCTGCACTCGAGAATGGGGGACTACTGACGTGGGTAAGCCCATAAAGGCCATAGCCCACTATGAATAACCCAAGCCATCACTTGGAGCCCAATACATAACCTAGATGGTGAAGTCCAGAACAGCTGGAATCCAACGTAGCATAAAGAGCCAATGACATTCAAACATACGGCAGGTAAAGGACAAGCCACATCAACAGACAAAGATCTGAAAGTTATTGCCACTGCACATCACCATTAATGCAGCCCATCACAGCATTTATTACGACAATACCTCTCCGTCGGAACAGCCCCCCTTACCCTGAACAAGGTAAGCTACAGCATAGACTTTCGGCCAAGATGGCAGGTCGGAAGGGACAGGGAATGATGACCAAAGGATATAAGCAAACGTTGAAGACAAGAAGAAGGTTAAGTTTTCTATCTCCCATTCATCTCCCTACATTTCATTTCTCTCTCTCTCTAACTTGCTCGTCAGAGGGTTCGCTGAGGGGCTCCTCGTTCCCCATTGAACTCCTGTGTAGGTTTTCTGGTGGGCTTGAACACTCAGTTACCGGTTGAAGAAGCGTGGATTGGTCCTACCCATTCCACCTGGGACCCGTTGTGTAAGTAACTATATCATCAGTACAGATCACCTCTAAGATGTGTACCATATGTAAATTGTGTCATTTATAAGTTTGATTATCACAAATGATATAATTTAATATTATAAGAGTCCTAACAAAAAGAAAAAAAAAATTATAACTAAACACCACATGAGGTATAACAAAATAACTCTTGAATTATAACTAAAATTTTGTCATAACTAACATCACATTGGTGCAGGTTTTCTGGTGGGCTTGAATACTCAGTTACCGGTTGAAGAAGCGTGGATTGGTCCTACCCATTCCACCTGGGACCCGTTGTGTAAGTAACTATATCATCAGTACAGATCACCTCTAAGATGTGTACCATATGTAAATTGTGTCATTTATAAGTTTGATTATCACAAATGATATAATTTAATATTATAAGAGTCATAACAAAAAGAAAAAAAAAATTATAACTAAACACCACATGAGGTATAACAAAACAACTCTTGAATTATAACTAAAATTTTGCCATAACTAACATTACATTGTGTCATAACTAACAACATAGCATGTTATAACCATTGATTCAAAGGTCGTTACCAAATATACATATACCATAAAATTTCCCAAATTACAAACACTTTTTTTTTTTTTGTGTTTGTTTAAAATATAAAGAAAAATTTACTTACACCATATCCAATAGTTACTCAAATATGTCATCAAATTATTTGATGAAGAATGACTTATTTTCCTTCTCCAACGGTTTCATTAAATAGGTATCAAAATCCTGGATTTTACTTTTCTTTCATCAAACTGAGGACAAATGTGTCTTTCATCAAATACTATTCATAGCCATTTGATTTTCACCACCAGATGTCCCCTTAATGACCACCTCAAGGCAAAAATTTGAAAAAAAAATTACACTAGCCGATTGTCTGCTTGGTCAATCCCCCGGATGACCACATCAAGACAAATATTTGTGAAAAATTTACATTGGCCGATCGGCCGGTTGGACATCCGCCCGGTTGACCAGTGTTCTGATGAAGTTTCAAAAACTTCCGTTAGAGCACTTGATATCAAATGAAACTTTTTTTCAAATTTGATGAAAAATTTGATACACCGTTGGAAATGCTCTTATATATCCTATCTTATCTTGAGAAATGGTGATCCGTTTAATCTTAAGAATTTTTTTATAGACCAATTAGTCCCATTGATTTTGGAAACGTATATTTAATATATTATTTAGAAATTGAATTTATAATTATACCATTATTTTTATTATGTTTCTTTTCTTTTCTTTTTTTCTTTTATGCTAGAAAGGTAAGATACACAATCTATGAGAATCAAATTTGAGTTGAATTATTATATGAGAATATTTTTTTTATTTAGAAAACATTTACAAATGAGTACAAACATGACTTGAAATATGAGATTTTTCAAACATTATGAAAGGAGTACAAAAACTCCATAACAAATTTTAGATAAATGTATAATTTCAAATTGTAATACTCCAATATAACACTCAAATGTAACAATTTGATGTCACTCCAAAAAAATATTTAGTGTGTTTTTGCCAAACATAACACTCCATTGTAACGCTCCAAAAAAATGATGTAGAATTCTTCAAACCATTTTAAAAGGAATACAAAAATTTCTTAGTAAATTTTGAGTAAATTTATAATTTCAAACGGTGAGTGTTACGTTTGGAAAAAATATACTAAGGAGTTTTAGTGTTTTTGTATGTATTACACTGAAGTATGTTACATTGGAGTGTTACATTTGAGATTACATTGATTAGAGTGTTATGTTTGAAAAAAATAAACTAATTTTTTTTTTTTTTTTGTGTTACATTGAAATGTTACGTTTGGAAAAAATACACTAAGAAATTTTTTTAAAGTGTTACGTTGTTGCGTTTGAAAAAAGTACACTAAGGAATTTTTTTGGAGTGTTACGTTGTTAGTTTGAGAAAAGTATACAATTTTTTAGTGTATTACATTGGAGTGTTACGTTATTAGAGTGTTACGTTTTTATTCGTAATGCGGAATTGTTCCAGAATGAGGGAAAATTCAAAATCTCTATAGTGTGGATTGCCCAAATGTGTAAATTCACATTTAGAGAATCCAACTTCTATCCCTAAAAAATTAAACCCAAATGTGTAAGTGACTACTTTTTTATGTAATTCCACTTTAATTGGACATTTGGGTTCATAAAAAGAAAAAAAAGAATTAAACAGTTCACAATATCACATTTTAGGATTTATTAGTGCTTTACCCAAATATAAATTACTTCTGTAGCCTAAAAATTATAAATATCCCATTGTCAAAAAATTTTATTTAATAGAATTAACAGAAAAAATAAAATTACTAACTACTCTCCTATTATGCAATAATAAAATTATCAAAATTTTAATTAAAATATATTTCTGATATCATTACAAATTATTAATTGACTTAATGATTTATTAAAATTTAAAAGAGATCATTTGTTATGCAATTATAAATTTGAAAGGCGGAATGTAATTTTCAAAATCACAAAAGATAATTCATATTTCAAGCAAATCTCAAGAGCATATTTGTAATTTATCCTAAAAGTAAATTCTTTTTGCTTTTTGAATATATATTTTTTAATTGTCGAGTAGAATAGACAAAAAAAATTATACAAACAAAAATTACACTCCCACAGCACTAAATTGCATTAATAATATTGCTTTTGGGATGAAATGCACATTTTCATGTAAACAGTCAATGTGATCTCTTAGTTTCCACAATTTATCATACAGCAAATTGAAAAGCAAAAGTAAGCCAATGAAATTCAGACGCCAGATCCTAAACATTTTGCAAATGGGAGTTCCTACTGTGTCCAATAAAGCAATCCAATCATATGCTAGCCCTTACAACTTCACTATCAATGAGTGTAACCATAAATAATGCTTGAGACCACTAAAAGTCGTGCTCTAAAAGCACCACTAGTGATGTGGCAGTGGACGGGGCCGACTGCTTGTTTCTTTATTTATTTATTTATTATTTTTTTTTAAGTGCTTGCCAACTCATTAGTGGTGCTTTAGAGCACCACTAAAAATGTATCATTACCGTAAAGTAAAGAAAAATGCTTGGGAGCACTAATTAGTGCTCCCACTAATTAGGTGGCAGTGGGTCCCGCCATTAATGATGTGATGTTTTGGTCTTGGAGTTGTATTTTTTTTTTACTTTTTTAATGTATTAGTGCTATTAGTGGTGATGTTTTTAGTGGGATGAATCATTGTTGTAAAGTAAAACTATACAAGGAGACAGCATAAACAGACCAGTTGGTCCACGTGAGGACTGCTGTTGTAGGGAATCAAATAGCAATGCAGAATGCAGTGGCAGCAAAGAAGATAGCAAGTCACTATAAAGCTTGGGCTGTGATAGGTAACTCACTACAAAGAGGGAGGCCAAGGCTAGTGAGAATGCAAGGGTAGAGAGAATGCAAAAAAAAAAAAAAGGAGGAGGAAATTAGACTTAAGAGTCAGGTTCGAATAAATTGGATGACTATTTTGACAGATGAGGTTAAGCAAAATGTGATTATTAGCTTAGGCCAATCGAGATGATGTTGAGCAACAACCAAAGATATTGGTTGGCACTGCTGCTCCATCACTGCAGTCTTAGGGTTTACGTGGCAGAATGTGTGGTGGGAAAGCTACAGAAGAATATTTGAGATAGAGCAGCCAAAGAAAAAAAAGAAGAGAGTAGAAAAATTACCTGGTGCTTCCAGGACTCCTAGATAGTGTTGTGGATCTGGAGTTGCTTATGGATAGTTCACAAGTATGTAAAGGTTACTTGTGCTACTGGGGAGTGCTCCACATTATTCTTGAGTGACTACTTCAGACAAACTTCAACGTCTGTCATGTTATAGACAAAACAGAATGTAACAAAACAGGACAGCTAATTAGCATAAAGTAAGAAGGAAAAGAATTGAGCAAAAAAAAAGAAGCAAGAACAAATGAAATCGTAGAAAACAATAAATCATGCAGTTGCAGACCAACAACGAAAAGAACAAGAAACAGAAGCTATTTGTTTAGGTCCTTAAACCATTTTGAGTGAACTTATTCTTCTTTGGCCAGTAAGTAAATAAACTGGGAGTTAATTTTGTATGGTTAATCCCTAAAATTCTATTTTTGCAAATCCCATTCAGAAGGCAGTGCATGACCTTTTTTTTGGCAATTAAACATTCACACACAACTCTCGAAAAATGAAATTACAAAGTTATTCTTTAAATGAAAGTTCTTTTTTAATCTAAATTTGGATATTTCTAAAAATATTAAAATTTGCACATGAAACACTTGCATTTGTTCTCCTTTTGGCTAAATAATTATATTAGTCAAATCACAAGTATCATTTACCTTTTATAACTTCTTTGCAGGACACAATGACAGCGAAAGCTCAGCGGTGATCCGTAGTTTTATTCATTTTAAAATATTCATTCGACTTTCAAGAATGATATTAATATGTTGTTCTCTTGACCATTTTAAACTGTAACTATTCCTTCTCATCCAAATTAAGTATATACATAGATTTAATATTATAAAGAGTTGTTGGTTCATACAGTTTGGCAAATTGTCTTTCATTATGCCACTAATTAGCTGCACTTACAAGGCTCTTGTCAAAAACACCCTGGTGAGTAGATAAATAAACCAAGCATCAAGTAGATAAACACACCAATAAGCAAGCCCATGGCTGAATTTCATTTGAACATCCATAATCAACATCTTGGTTCATCAAACCATGTTCCCTCTAAAAAGATGATTTATGCATATGCTGTTTCAGTGCCACCTTGGCAGCTCTATATTGTTCGGGAACCACATATCTGCCATAAAAAAGAAATTTTTAATTAGCAAAGTTAAAATCCCTCGTCTTGTAGGACAATAAAGGTTTGTAGGAAGGACCAAAGACGATGTGAAACAAAAGTAAAGAGGATGTCAACTTTGGGTACAAATCAATTGAGAGAGTTTGGGCTAGAAAATACCTATTCATAAGTCAGAGATAAAAATCCCTTGCACAGTAATATGATTATACGAGTATATTTCAAATTGCCAAATTGTCATGCAAATGAAATGTACCCTTGTTCACTCCTAACTGTTGATGTTAATATAAAAAATACCCAAGCAACATATTAGCGGCTGAAGAGGAAGACTGGATCTTCACTAGCAAACAATTTCCTTTAGTCATCAATACGCCTTAATTAGCTGAAGAATTTATGTTACAAAGGCCATCTAACCTCACATTGCCTACAACAGAGAATATTATTGTCGTGTAAGATTGATGATCCATCATTTAACCAATAGAAAAATGCCTTGCCACGGTCCGACCATCCTCACGCTGATTCGAAATAAAAATTCGCATCTGCTAGCTTCAGCTGGTTAGAACTCTAGCTACATTGAGAGTAACACATTGTCCAGTAATCTTAATTGTTCATATCAGCAATGAAACTGACATAGAACCTAACAGAGTTATACTAAAAACAAGGCTTTTTGATAAGTTAAATAGCACACAAAGCAGTAAAGTCAATGGTAATAAGCCTCTAAACAGGCAAACTGAAGTCCCTAGCTATTGGCATAGCAGCATATAGTAACTGAATCTGAACTGGAATATTTTGTTCATCATATTAGTATAAGTTGAAGGATCTACCATTTTTTTTGTTGTTGATAAGTTCAAGGATCAGCCATTGACAGTGTTTCACTTATCAACATCTTGCAACTGGAAATTAGAATTCATGTATATAATAAGTGGATAATGTATAGATAAAATCACTCACATGCTAGAGATGATTAGGATGCGAGAACTGTCTGAGTAGAATATTACAGCTTCACCGCCTCCAAACATGTGCAAGTATTTTACAAGAGAAAGCCAATTCTGTGGATTTATTGAGAAGTGTTGAGTCATTTATATGAGCAAAAACACAGAAGAACTGATAGGAGTCACTGAGAATGATCAATACCTTTGAAGTAGCTTGGTACTTCATATTATTTGCTTATGCCAGTCAATCAAGTATAATTATCCACTGAAGTTGGTTGTCCTATTCCAGCAATAGCACCGAAGATCATCCCAACTGGCCAAGCGATCATCACTTATCAGGCTTTTGAAGTTACTTTAGATGTTATCAATGAGAGATGTATCTACAATGTCATGCAAAAATCCAGATTAGAAGCAATGATGGTACTCATGAACGTTTCACACAGCTTAAAGCACATTTTGCAGAGACGATAATAAATAAACCAGACGATGTGGAGGCAAGTTTGCCGCAAGGTAGAATTTCTCTCGTATCACGTACTCTTGAAAAAACTCACTGATATGAGCATGTGATTGTCTCATGGCAAGTTAGTTAAGCGCTCAAATTAACTGAAATTCACAGCATTGCCATTTCGAAAGCTGTTCATGTGGGCTATTCTAGAGAATTAATATATTGAGCCTCTTTAACAATTAGTTATGACGAATGCTTTACTGTATGAAGACTTAGAGGATTTTTTTTGACGGACGTTCCACTTGGCTTTGAGGATTTCTCAGTTGATGGGAGTGTGCAAGCTCAAAAAGGCATTATATGAGTCACAAAGTCTGCTAGAGCATGATTTGAGAGGTTTACTTGGGCTATGCTTAGATGTGGCTACAAACAGAGTCAAGATGACCATACCCAATTCATCTAACATTCACATGAAAACAAGGTTACAGCACTCCTTGTGTATGTTGATGATATTTGATCTATAAGAAATGCAGAAGTTGAATAGCAATCTTACTAAGGAGTTTGAAACAAAAGACTTTATTAACTTAAAGTACTTCTTGAGTATTGAAGTTGCAACATCCCAAACAGAGTGTTTATCTCGCTAAGAAAGTATGCTTTGGACCTTCTCAAGGACAAAATGTGCTTGGGTATAAAACTATTGATTCCATGTTGGAGCAAAAAGGCATTATATGAGTCACAAAGTCTGCTAGAGCATGATTTGAGAGGTTTACTTGGGCTATGCTTAGATGTGGCTACAAACAGAGTCAAGATGACCATACCCAATTTATCTAACATTCACATGAAAACAAGGTTACAGCACTCCTTGTGTATGTTGATGATATTTGATCTATAAGAAATGCAGAAGTTGAATAGCAATCTTACTAAGGAGTTTGAAACAAAAGACTTTGGTAACTTAAAGTACTTCTTGAGTATTGAAGTTGCAACATCCCAAACAGAGTGTTTATCTCGCTAAGAAAGTATGCTTTGGACCTTCTCAAGGACAAAATGTGCTTGGGTATAAAACTATTGATTCCATGTTGGAGCAAAATTGCACATTAGGGAATGAAACTAAAGATTCATTTGACAGGGAGAAATATCAGAGGCTGGTTGGTAAGTTAATTTATCCATCTCATACCCCCTAGATATAGGTTATGTTGTTAGTTAGCCTTGTGAGCCACTATGCATAATCCTATTGAATTACATATCAGTTTATGGTCTACTCTGGTACTTCAAAAGAAAGAGTTCGATTTTTTACAACATTTGCATAACTTTAACGGCGAATATCAGCATGCAGCCATGCAAACTGAGATTCAATTAGCATGGGTTATCAAAAGAAAAATGAGATGTTATTCAAATGAAAAAACACTATGAGATGCATCCATATTTATTATAATTCAGATGTTGCACAATGGAAGAAATGCTCTACAAATCTACAAGAATACTAAATGCAACTAACACATTGTAAATCAATATAATTGAAAAGCACTGTTATGCAAATTTGAAGCATATATTTCAAACAATTAACTAGTGAATACAAGTTCAAGAAGAATACATACAAATACAAAACAGAGAACATAAAGTTCAAGAACAGGACATGTATTGTGTACCTGTTATTCCATTCCATGCTTCTTTGCTTATTTCCAATCCCTTCAAAGAGCAAAATGTAATCAATTTCAGTACCATATTATAGCAGTTCCACATAATTGACATTAATGATTAGATGAAATCAACAACTAGTATTTTAGTTCAAAAAATAAGGAATATTACACCATTCAATATATATATTTGTATATGAAAACATATCAGAGTCATATCCATAAACAAGTCAAGAAACCATCGACAAGCAATTCTCACTTAGGAAAGGGAAAAGAAATCCAGCAACAAATTGATAATGCTAGTGCATTTTATTGAACTTGTAATTTTCTACCAGTCATGGCATTTAGACAGTGAAAAATTAAAGCTCAGCCTTATATAAACCTCCTCCTCTTGTTATGATAGAATTCATTGATTGAATATGTCCCATCAATAAACCAAACCAAATCAAAGCTCAGCCTTATATCCCATTCAATTGTGATTGGCTACCTGAATCATTTTTCACCATTCTGCTCTATCAATGATTATATGCTTAGTTAAATAAGTAAATTCATATGAATCACATAATATTTCAATATGTCAGACACACTGTTCCACTTAAACCAATATGCTTTGATTCTATGAATCACAACACCACCAACCTCATCATCGTCATTAACAATCTAATCTAAGTAACGAAAATGTTCACTATTTGTTTCCCATCACTAAATTGCATTAATAACATCATTTTTGGGATCAAATAATGCACATTTCTTGTGAACAGTCTATGCAATCTCTTAGTTTCCACAAATTATCATACAATAAGTTGAAAAGGAAAAGTGAACAATTGAATTTGAGATCCCAAATCCTATCCATGCAGGTTTTAAGTACTACTGGTTCCTTATTGGCCACACACACACATACATCTATATATATATATGGTATCTAAAGGAGCTAATAATAATTAATTTCCATAAAAAGCAACCTGACTGACAGAGACAATCGTCTGCTAGGATTCAGCAATTGCAAACGAAAATTGCTAGCAATGAAAGAGCATATACGATCCAGGAAATGAGCTTGAGGCAGAGCGGAAAAGAGACTGTGATGGCAACAAAGAAAGCGGTAACTCCACAGACTACTCCAGCGTGGTCAAGCACGCGGCCTAGGTTCGGGTGCTTGAAGAAACGTATTTGGCAACAAAGATGTAAGAAATAATGTATAGAGAAAGAGAGAGAATAAATTGTATGTATTATTATTGATTGATATATTGATGTGTATTACAATGATTCATGATTCCTATATATAGAAGAGGGTGAGTGTGTAGTAGGTAAGGAGTAGGTGAAGTGAAGGTGGTAGTGGTGTAGTGGGTTAGGTTTAGTGGAGTAGGTGAGGTGGTAGTGGTGTAGTGGGTTAGGTTTAGTGGAGTAGGTTTAAGTGGGTGAAGTAGGTGGTGGAGAGTAGGTGGATTTTAACAAAAGATAAAAGCAAACGCAAACACCATTGCCAGACACACCAAGTGGAATGTTATAGAGTAGTATTGTGTAGGAGTTTGGTTCGATCGAATGGCGATTTCAAAAGCGGCTGTCAAGCAGAACTCTAAGACTAGCATCGGCAATTCAGGAGGAACTTCAACTACTAATTCAGGCGGCGGCGGAGCCATAACCGGAGGAGGGAGTTCAACAACTGATTCTAATGGTCTCATTTCCACCAAACTCACAATTTGCAAACGGAAGCGCTTTTCCTTTATATAATAGTCAGTACTCAATTGGGAAGCAGATGCAACGAAATTGTTCTAGCTCTAGATTGTGACAAGTGTCTAATTTAGGGACATCGGAAAACCTTTATTTGTCTTAAATTACAATTTTTTTTTTTGTTTTTTTAAAAATTATATTATGCCATAAGATTTCTAATTTCATGACAAATAAGTCTTTTTATTAATAAATCATCAAATTAATTAATAGTTTTTAATAATGTTAAAATTTTATTTCAATTAATAATTCAGATAATTTTATTATTGTATAAGTGAATAGTTAAAAATTTTACTTGTTCAATTAATTCTGTTAAATAAGAAATTCTGACAGGGAGGTATTTGTAATTTTCTAAATTACATGAGGCAATTCAAATTTTAAGCAAATCTCAAAGAGTGTATTTATAATTTACCCTTATTTGTCATATATTGTATCATATATGGTTAACCTCAATATTACATTGTTAATTTATTTTTTCCTTTTTCATAACATTACTGTTTAAGTCCAAAAATTAAACTCACTTCTTAAATCTGTGAGATCAAATCCTACTCTCTTTGCTAAAATTAATTGATGATAAGAAGAGTTTTACTTATATCTTTTATGATATTCGATATGGCGTTTCGGAAACTTGTTTTTAGAATAATCACAAATAACTAACAAAATATATTGACGTGACAATCAATTACAGTAAATTAAGACACTCTGACACACTCTCCTATCGTCTTTAATTATTAATCATGATATAATGGTATTCGCAACTCACCTCCCTTAAAAATTTGGATAAAATAATATGAAATTGTTCTAGCTCTAGATTGTGACAAGTGTCTAATTTAGGGACATCGGAAAACCTTTATTTGTCTTAAATTACAATTTTTTTTTTTGTTTTTTTAAAAATTATATTATGCCATAAGATTTCTAATTTCATGACAAATAAGTCTTTTTATTAATAAATCATCAAATTAATTAATAGTTTTTAATAATGTTAAAATTTTATTTTCAATTAATAATTCAGATAATTTTATTATTGTATAAGTGAACAGTTAAAAATTTTACTTGTTCAATTAATTCTGTTAAATAAAAAATTCTGACAGGGAGGTATTTGTAATTTTTCAAATTACAGGAGGCAATTCGAATTTTAAGCAAATCTCAAGGAGTGCATTTATAATTTACCCTTATTTGTCATATATTGTATCATATATGGTTAACCTCAATATTACATTGTTAATTTATTTTTTCCTTTTTCATAACATTACTGTTTAAGTCCAAAAATTAAACTCACTTCTTAAATCTGTGAGATCAAATCCTACTCTCTTTGCTAAAATTAATTGATGATGATAAGAGTTTTACTTATATCTTTTATGATATTCGATATCGCGTTTCGAAAACTTGTTTTTAGAATAATCACAAAGAACTAACAAAATATATTGACGTGACAATCAATTACAGTAAATTAAGACACTCTGACACACTCTTCTATCGTCTTTAATTATTAATCATGATATAATGGTATTCGCAACTCACCTCCCTTAAAAATTTGGATAAAATAATATGGTAACACTGAAATTTAATCAAATGTTGGAAACACACTCTGAAATAAATAAATATAAATATAAATATAAATTTTAGTAGAAAAAGTATAATAATATTATTTTTTATTCATATAATTAATTAATGAATTATTGAAGGAAAATATATAAGTTAAAACTTTGAGAGAGGTACAGTTATGTTAAAAGTGTAGGGGTACTTTTTAAAAAAAAAAAAAAAAATTTTTTTTTTTTTAAATTTATGTGCTGCTTGTGTTTAAAATAAAAAAGAAAAAAAAATGTCAAACCATATCGTTTCAATATGTTGATTCCAATTTTTTTTAACCCTATACTATCCTTGTGTCTGCAAAAAAGGAAAAAAGATTCAAAACGTGATCGTTTTAACTCACGGTAGAAAGTTATTTAAAAAATTAGGATAAATTATATTTTGACCTTTAAAATTTATTTTTCCCACTTTGAAGCTTTATGTTCTAAATTTTTTTCATTTACTCTTAAAATTAATTTCTTTTAAAAATTAGACAGAAAATAACGGATTCGGGGTGACTTTTTCTAAATATTTTTTGATAATTTGAATTGTTCAAATTTTAAAGTTTATCGAGTATATCATTTATACAAAAAATTAAGTTAATTTGAAATTCGCAACTCTATGATTAGATTCTAAATGTTTTTAAAAAATTATTAAAATCATATCAACCGTTTATTTTTTGAAAAACATATATGTTTTTGTTACTAAGTTATAGATGTCCAATCAATTTAATTTTTTGCATAAATAATCAATTTAATTAATCCTATAATATGAACAGTTTGAATTATAAAAAAAAATTCAAAAAAAGCCTTCACTGGGGCACTACAGCACGCTGTTGTGAGGGGTTGTTTGAGATGCTCTAAATAAGTGTACTTTTTGACTTTTTACGAAAAAACGTAAAATATGAGTTGAGTTTGAAGTGATATGATAGAGAGATGATGTGATTTAAATGAAATGATGTGACTTACAGAATAGTAACTTTTTAGTTTTTTTGTATTATGCCAAACTAGGGTAGTCACAGCAGCACTCTTTGGTCCAAAAGTAACACATTAAAATTACATAGCATAAAAAATATATTATTATATTAAGATTTGAACTTGTGGCAGATGTGTAAGCAATGACGGAACTAGAAAATTGGTTTAGCAGGCATCCATTGATTTCAATGTTCATTTTTCTTTTTCTTGTAATCAATAGTAAAAAGATAATATTAAATATTTTAGATAATTTTAGAAATAAAAACTTAAATACTCTTTACAAAAGTTTTTAATATAATCTTTTAATACGTTAGGCACACTGTTCCACTTGAACCAATATACTTTGATTCTATGGATCACAACACCCCAACCTCATCATCCTCAAACGAAAATGTTCACTATTTGTTTCCCATCACTAAATTGCATTAATAACATTATTTTTGGGATCAAATAATACATAGGGATGGGAATGGATAACCTACCCTGTGGGTATCCATGGAGACCCAACCCAAATACATGGGTTTTCTCCTTTTTTTCTTATCCATTGGGTAGCGTAAGTGATATTCTTTAATGTACGGAAAAGAAATACACCTTCTTGTATAATCCTGTTGACTAAGTCCACGCTCCTCCGTACGACATCGCTTTATTACCTGAAAATACAAATGTGAGCTAGCCGGCGGGTGTGTGCCGGAAACCTCTCCGATGCCTAAGTCAGCAGACTTGACAAATAGACAAAGCTCTGTATACTCAGAAAACAAAGTAGTGTGTTACCTCCTCCAAGGTGATGTTTGTGAGCTTTTATAAGTTTCGTGTGGCACAATCCTAGTAGGACTTGTACTCCTCCATGCAGAGTCCTCCTAGGATTCATACTCCTAAGGATAATGCTTATCCTTTTACACCCCCCACTGCTTCAACCAAGTGGGATGGTTTTCACCATGGCCGAACTGCCATACGACCGAGATAAACCTGGCTATACTGAGCCACAGAGTAGGACGTATTAACAGTAGTTCGGTTCTTCCTCTTGTTGTACCATATCTCGGTTCTCTTATGCACGAACCAGTGTTTGGACCGGTCTATCGAATAGCAACATTCCGACCGACCTACCCATAATACTTCATGACCGGACTATCCCTGCGACCGGCCTAATTCCAAGTTGTCTCCGGACCGGAGTAGCTTTACATCGTCTTGGGCCGAAGTAACTTAACTCTCTTCGACCGGAGTCACTATTTCTTTCTTGGGCTGGAGTAATATTTCGGCCTTTTTACCCAGCCCTTGGCATTTTGGGCCACAAAGTCCATCTCACAGCTCGGCCCAATTTTCTCCAAAAATTACCCTCTACTAGCCGAGCTACTAGCCGAGCTGATTGGGATTACCAGTCTACTAGCCGAGCTGGAGTTTTTAAGCTTTTCCAGCCGAGCTAAAAACCTTTTAGCCTCTCCAGAAGAGCTAAAAACTCCTAAGCCTTTTAAGCCGAGCTAATTTTACTCCGGGCTCTGTTTTGTCCGGTCAAAACGTCTCTTCAATCATGACTGTAACGCTCCCCTTTCCAGTGACACGTGGCGGGCTCTGATAGGCTGGGGCCAACTGTCATGCCGCCCTCGTACCACGAAATTTTTTTTGAACAGTCCCGCCCTTTTCATCCTTTACACAAAACAACTCCTTCATTTATTGAATCATTCACTCTACTCCTTCTTCTCTCTCTCCCTGTGCCTCTTCCTCTTCAACGGTTAAGCTCTTGTTCCTCATTTGCTGCTACTGTTTCCATCTCCAGTCCCATTTTCTTCAATCTGGTAAGCAAATCCATTTCCCTTCCCTGTTTTTGCTTTCGTATCTGTTCTATGCATTTTGTTTACTGTATTTTTACAAAACATTTTCTTCCATTTCTGCTTCACTTCTGTATTTTCATGGGAAA